TGTCCAGCAAAGGACCAATCACTCAGCAATATACAGAGAAACCGCAGGCGCCTAGGAGACTTCGGTCTACCTGCGACCGTTGTACGATGCTCAAAGTTCGGTGCGACAAGAAGAAACCCCGCTGTGAACGATGCGAGTCAGTGCAGCAGCATTGTGTCTACGGTCCGTATCGATGGAAAGGACGGTCGACACCAACCCAAGCTGCACTCTCGAGTTCTGATATTCGAACTGGAAGACAAGTTCCTTTCAAAGGAGTAGAAGGCTTTAACCAATCAACAGCTCAAGATATACAGGTGGCCGAACTCATACTACCAGACGGTCCTATGCGGTCGTTGACGGACCTTTCTGTATTTCCAGGGCTGGAACCTGTCTCGTTTGATTTCCACGGTGAGCTTGATGGTATGTACATTGGGATGGGCGATGATGACAGGAAAGAAATATCAGCTAGGCCAGCTCCATTGGACTACTTTGGCACGACAACGAACAGCCTACCAGGCCAACTGGAGATCAGGTCTTTGGCTTCCCTCGAAGGGAGTGAATCACATCACCCGCTAGAGGCTGGTATGTCAGAGTCTTATTTTTCATCTCCACCTTCCTGGGCATCAAAGAATGTATGTCCATGTGCTAGTTCAGCATTCAATATATTGCAAGAGATGTACCGCGCTGAAGCTACATGTCGATTGGAAAGGGGCTCTGGCCTGCCGTCGAACGACCACATCCTGAAGATTAACCGCACGGCAGCTCAAAACCTTGATCTGTTCTTATCTCGGGACTGTACCGACTGCCTCGAGGATCCCAACATTCTTCTCTTGGTTGTAACTACTATGTCAAAGGCAATATCATGGTACCGAGCCGTGTTCGATCGCATCGATCAGTACTCACCCACCAAGAGCCCTGTTAACCTCATGGAACCTCTCCCCGTTACACCAATATATTTCGGTGACTTTGAACTTGATACTGTTGCTGAGCACCGTATCACAGCCCAGGTCCTACTCTGTGAGCTTGGATATTATAGCAAAGTTCTGTCCTTAATAAGAGAGAGTACGCTTGGAAGAACGCGCGATGGGCGAGAACCAATAGGTGCTCTTCTTGGGGTTGTTTCTCACTTTCTATCAACGACACTGAATGATTTAACAAGTAAGGTGGATGAATTTTGCACGTTCAAACCGTCCTTTACCGTTTGTTAGGAAAGCAATCGTGCATATATCGCGAGGCAGTGTTGAAATATTTGGCTGTCTAGTACCGTCCGTATATTCTGCCGTTACTATACCTACCTATGAAGTACCTAGGTAGGAAATTCCTTTACATCTGGTATGGCATAATAGAGACTTAGTTTGCTCAAGTACAGTAAATTGGCCTAGCTTCGAGCATTTTGCCCCCAACATAAGGCTCCACGTATCTTTTAGTCGTTTTCTCTCCCATGGGAATACCTCCACTGTACCTCTATAGGGTATCACTCTAGTGGCTGGCAATTAGACGCGAATGTAACCCAAGAAGGTGCTCTAGCAGACAGGAATCCTAGCTGTATATAATGTCTATTACTTACCATACGCCTACACGACAGTTTCACCAAACTGTAGTACGGTCACATAAAGAATTTTTCAATCTGGTTCACTATCAATATTGCAACCGCGAACCTACGGGTACCTGTTCTATTTATAGTCATCATACAATTAACAAACCGACTAGGTCAATGTCGGCTTCATTCATTGTTGTATGCCAACATTTAAACAAAGGCAAGAAATATGTTTTGAGAAACAGGGAAACATTGAACCATACAAAGCAAACTGGAAACTGCCTGATTGGTACCTTTTACACCTTGAGTGTTCCCATGAACCTCCTCATACTGTGGATACCATGGGGATGGCTTGCCCTATGGTCGCGATGAGCTGGTTGCTTTGCGAATAACCACCTAATAATCTCCGGTATGTAGACCAGCCATAGCCTCGTTGCAAATCATGCGCTTACGATGCAAGATAATACAATGCAAAACCAGACTTGAGCTCGCCCACCGAAGGCAATCCTGCGCACTGTTCCCCAATATCAATTTCGTGTCTTCCACTACCTGACAACACTCTCTTCGATCTCATTGTCCCGACGGTTCACTTAACACACCGTGAAGGTTAAAAGCCGGCACTGGGTGCATCACCGCGAGCCCCCCGATCTATGTTACATTAATCGAGGGCCTATGTGGTATCCTTCACCGTCTCGTATTCTCAAACAGTCTGGAAGGCAGCAGAACTTGCCTCCCAACTTGCTATACTTGGAAGGGTCACCCTAGTCGTGGCTTGCAACTCGAGCCCTCATCCTACCGACGTCAGCTTGTTTATTCTAGCCTGTTCGTCTTAGATTATGCTATTGTAGGACGATTGTTGCCCAATTAGCTGGATTCGCGAAAGCCTCCATCGTATTAGAAGCCACCCTTATGAGTGAATCGCTTATGATAGTCGAATCTGTCATCAGATATTGAGCTACCTCCATGCAGTTCTTATATGCATAGCTACGCTGACTTCTCACTTCGCAATGTAAGAAACCATCTTTGCGGTTCTCCACGGGACATTTCCCACGACTGCGTGCGCCATCCGTCAGACAAGTGAAGTTCAGCGCTCGAGCTATTCGTCATTTGAGTACAGAATGAACATCGAGGGGGCCATCTAGACCTGCAAACGATTTTCTAAACAATGGGATCGACGTCAGCGTATACGAGTGGGACAACCTAGAGTTACGGTGGACAGGCTGTCTCATCCGGATGACGAAGACGCAAATGAGGGCTTTCGAGCTTGCCCATTCCGGTCACAGGTAGCCACTATCCACAGGAGGTTCTCTCAGGCTGGTGGCTCTCTATCTACCGCGCCTGCGATCTATTCCTACCGGTTTTGCCCTTTGCTGGACCTCAGCCGCTTGCCGGGTTACGCTAAAGGTGCTTCGATTAATCGCTTGGTCCTGTGCGATGACCTAGTGAAGCGATCAAATGAGCTAGCATGGTTCTTTTGGGAAGGCTTTCATTTATTACGAGATTATGCTTGAGCGGGCAAGGAACAGGTGGTCATTTACTTCACAGATGGGACTTGCGACCGGTGCGACCTGCTGACCGGGACCGATGGGAGTGCCTCCAAATATGCTAAACACCGTCGTAATACATTTGATATTCGACACCCACTCGGAACTAGACCAGAATCAGGTTGGGGCTCGGAATTTAGTGGAAATAACAAGGTAGTGGTCGTTTCACGTCAGGAAGAGACTACCTCTTGCTCGTTTTCAGAATAGTCACATTATGGTCGATAGCGGGTCGACAGATAAAGCCGCCGATGACATGTAGGCTGCTGGGGATTAGCTGTTTAAGGCACGACCTAAGCGCTATATGGTGTTTCGGTCGAGCTGGATTAACATAGGCTGCCGAACTATGTGCAAGCGGTCGCCTACCGAACACTAGCAATCACTTTGCGAAGTCCAATTCAACGAGGATAGTCACGCTTAGGTGTAGTTGCTCTGGGATACAATGCATGCCATTCGGCAAGCAAATAGGTAGGGCAGTTTGACTCACGTGGTTGTCTTTGAACGTATAGGCTAACATTATCATGACTGTTGCTGACCATGGAAACTCTCGCGGATTCCTGATGACACACCTCCGCTGCTATCGTTGCCCATATATTCCGACTTGACGGTATGTTTAGATATCTAGTTGCACTATTCATGAGCGTTGCGATTCCGGTTGCGATCCTTGCTAGTCGAATTGGTCAGTTGTTCTAGCCCAAGGATGCATCCCGGGTTTGAGTTGAAGGGCAGCTTTTATTCCGTGATATCGATTCGCGTCTTTTTGAATTCCTATGGATAACTAGAGGTTTATTGCCGTTTTTATTTTATCCTTCAGTGTGTTTTTCGTGCGTCTATTTTCAGTCCTTCGTATTGTTCTTTCGCATGATATCCCGCGTTTCAAAAATTATATATATTCAGCAGTCGTACATACTCACTGAACAAAAATATTCTATCTACTCAACTGAAACTGACACTCTATTCGACTAATTCGGACATCCTAGTACATAGTATCTACTTTAAAGTAACAGAGTCAGAGTGCTTCAAATTCATTCCACACCCAACATCCTACCAAACCCAACAAACAACAAAACCCGAGGAATATAAGGACACAATTATGTGCAGAATAAGCCCAGCTGACTAACTATACAGCACGAGTTATGCAATCCCCGCCAAGTAGTCATAGCTCCACCACTTAATCTCCATTAATATAAAAAAAGTATATACAAGCCAAAAAGCTCGCCACAGGCCACAAATTACGTCAGTTAAGCTAATACGAGAGGAAAAACAAGAATCTGAGCGAAAGGGGACATCCCAGGACATTTTTTCTCCAAGAAAATATATCCCGATGGGTTTGATTCGATGCAACATTCATTGTCTAGACTATCGCCTGGACTGTTCCATATGGGATTTGTGAATGGCAGGTCAGAGGAAGCTGGCATCAGCTACGTCTATGTGGTCCTGGATACGAGGTAGTTATGTATGAAACCTCCATAGAAAGGGTTTTCAGTGGATCGATGGGTGAATACGAAAAGAGTACCTGGTAGCCCAGCAGAACCATGCCGATATGTCTGCCAGGCTACGACCATAACGACGTCTATGGGGCGAGTGTTATCAGAGATCTACGTGGGTGAGATACAGTGGGGTGTCAAGTTTGAAACCGTCCGCTTGACCGCCCTATTCCAATCCTACCAAATCCAGTGCTTGAACCTACACCGTGTATCTGCATACTAAATTATAGTTCCTAGAAAGGAAAGGAAAGCTATTTACTAAGTTAGTTGACTGGTATACTAAGTATTAAGGTCCAGTTATAGAGTTTGCGAAGTTTCTGTCACGTAAAATAATATAATTAGGAAGGCGGTAATAGGGGGCAATAAATGGATGGTTTCAAACTTTTGACATCCCACTGTACGTACCGACGAGGTTCTAGTGGAAGAATGGAAAAAGTGCAAAAAAAAGAAAGGAGAAACCCCTGGTGGGGGTCACCCGCAACCTTGAGATTAGAAGTCTCACGCGCTACCATTGCGCTACAGGGGCCAGTTGGTGCTATGGGACATGATTTTAACACTCTAAGTCTAGAATATGCACATTCTCTACATACTGGCAATCGTCATTGTGGCAGTTGACAGAGATTGAGTTCCGTGTCTCGAATGATAGGATCTGGAGCCGGACCCACCATGTTTTCGCTGTCAGATATTGATTAATTTCTAGAAGAAAGAACCGTGCTTAGTGTCATTATTGCGTCAATCCGCGGGGAAATCCGAATCTATTAAATATGTAGATAGTGATGCTTCATTTGCAGGTTGTACTGCATAATAGTCCAACCCAATGGTTTGGATACGTAGTCTAATCTACACAGGACACAGGATATCCAAAGAATCTCCACAAAGAAAGAAAAACCCCACCCCCTCTGACAAAGACAAGTGGATAACCACGCCTCTGAATCCCGGCATTCCTGTCTCTTAACCCTCCAAGCGCCGGATGAGATCATACCCACCCCTGCACGCCTCCAATCGGAGAATTTACAAGCCCACACTGTCTGCCGCGCCGTTAATACCATGTCGATCTTTACTGTTCACTCTTCCAAAAACTGCGGATTGGCCGATCGCGCAGTGGTTGCATGATCGGATTGACGTATTGATTTTGGATGACGTGAGGTGGGTTTCAGTTCCGTGTGGTCGTATCTGGACCCATGGGTAGGGTTTCGCTGGCTCAGCAGGTACTGGTTCTGCTACGTAAAACAGTAGGGTGTTTACATAGTACTACACAGCTGTTTTGCTTGCGGGGTTTGATCGAGGACGGGTGCCGTTGGAGTATTATCTGTGAATTTAATGAATATAATGTGTACTATGTACGATGTATAAGGCTGTGGGTCTAGATCGTCTACATGGAGTCGTATCAGAACTATTTTAATATACTTTCAGAGGGACTAGCCCCTCAAGGTTAACTCCCATGGTCTTCTTAGTTTGATCTCTCATTTCTGTCTATTAACTGACTGACGTAAATCGTGGCGAGGTTCGGGCCATACAAGTATCACAGCTTAGCAGGGCTAGAAAGTGAGTATCTGACCCTGGAGAGTCCATTTCTATGTTCCGAATAACTTTTCAATATATTCTTCAGTAGATGCTCTACTGAGCTCTTAATATCTAGCAGAATATAGTAGAGTCTGGAAAACAAATGTGGACTTTCTAGAGTAGAGAAACGTCTAGACATATCTCTTCCACACCAAGTTCACCATACCTGAAACCTTATGTAAAGAAAACTCTCGAAGTATAGTGAAGTTCCAGTACCATTGACCTATAGGCCCAACATGACGTATATGAATCTCTAATGCCGATAGACATGACGTATGTGGATCTATGATATCTTGTATTCAAAGCGTTGTTGAAGTTATTTAATAGCACAAGCGTTCAGTATCTGGGCTGTAATATCCGCAATTTTTTCATGATTATAACGATCCACACAATTCACGAGCTTTAACGAATACTATACCTACATTATCCATCAAGCTAATTACCCTATTGAACCTCCCAAGATAGGACAGCAACTCACATCGCCCTTCTCACCACTGAAGACACCCTTCAGGCTACGACCACCATCATACCCTACCTCAGAACCAAACATGTCGTCTCCCGCAGTACAAAGAGCAACTGGCACTCCTCGAAAGCTGCGAGCCGGATCCGGCTCCAGCGCCGGACATGTCGCTGAACAGAGTCCCTCTAAAAGAACACCCCAGAAGCTCCAAGTCCGGAGCCGCAAGCCGATCGAAGAAGACGTCCCTGAAGAACCGGTTACGCCATCCCCGAAACCACGTAAGACTGTTCAGGGTGAGCAGCGTGATGCTCCCGAAGAGACACAGTCGCAGGCTTCTGGGTCTGCCGGGGGACTGGGAGGACTGGCTGGTGGTCTGACCGGTCAGGTAAAGGATACTGCTGGGGGGTTGACAAGGAGGGGTGAGCAGACCGTCGCGAACGCGACCGGTGTTGATTTGTCGTTCTTGAAGGGGCTTGAGGTTAGTGAATGGGGTCAGGTGCTGGGTGATGATGGGAACCCTGTTGGTCGGATTGTGGAGGGTGAGCCTCAGGATCTTGCTGGATACGCTGTTGGGGATAATGGCGAGATTCTGGATGATGATGGCGACTTGATTGGTCGTGTTGAGGCTCTTCCGGAGGCGATCCAGGAGAATACGGACCAGGCGAAGAAGGCTATCGGTGGTCTTGCTGACATGAATGGTATTCCGGTGTCTGAGGGGGGTTTCATCAAGGATGAGGCTGGTGAGACCGTCGGAAAGGTCGTGGAAGGGGATGCTCAGGATCTCGTTGGGTACACACCTAATGAGAAAGGTGAGATCCTTGACGATGAAGGCGACCTTGTCGGACGGGTCGAGCCTGTGTCCAAGGCTGCAAGTGCTGCTGGAAGTGCTGCTGATTCTCGAAAGTCGGATTCTCACGGCACCAAGAGTGTTAGAAAGAGTGCCAGCGAGGAAGCAACCGGAGAGGTGGACAAGGCTGATTCCACCACGAAGGATATCGAAAGCACGGCCGAAGAGAAAGTCGATGACGCCGAAGAGCAGCTGCCGCCCCTCTCTATACTTGAGGGCTTGAAATGCAACAAGCTGGGCAAGATCATCAACCCATCGACTGGAAAGCCAATCGGTGAACTGGTTGAGGGTGATCCGAAGAAGCTTACTAGGCTTGGTGCGACACTTGATGACCAGGGCCAGTTCTGGGATAACCGCGGGAATGTGATTGGCCGTGCTCAAACACTTCCTCAGCAGGATTACAGTGATGAGCCTCCCTTCGCCGGCTTAGATGGCCTCCATGTCGTCGAAGACGGATGGGTTGAGGACAGCAAGGGCAAGCGTGTCGGGAAGATCGTTGAGGGTGAACCTAAGAAGGTCCTCGGTCGCCCTGTTGACGAGGATGGAGAGGTCACTGACCAACATGGAAATGTCGTCGCAAAGGCCGAATACTATGAGCAGCCGGATGAGCCGGAGCCTGAGGAGCCTGAGGTGGTCGACCTATCGAAACTGGACGGATTAACCTGCAACAAACTAGGATACGTTATGGGACCTAACGGAGTTCCAATTGCACGTGTCGTGGAAGGAAACCCTAAGGAGCTGGCCGGTAAAGAAATCGATGATGGCCAGATCTGGGACGGTCGCAAGCCCATTGGACGCGTTGAGCTTATCCCTGAAAATGAGCGCGAGAAGAAGCCTGAAGGCCCGTTTGCTGGCCTAGAGAACCTGGTCGTGAACAAGGAAGGATTCGTCGAGGACACCGATGGTAACATCGTCGGCAAGGTCACTGAAGGCGAATTGAAGAACTTACGCGGGCGCACTGTGGATGAGGATGGAGACATTATCGACAAGTTTGGTAATGTCAAGGGACATGCCGAGCCATACGAGCCTCCAGAAGAGGAGGTAGTCGAAGAAGACTTGTCAATCTTAGAAGGTAAAACCGTCAATAAGGCCGGCAATGTCGTGGACGCCCAAGGAAACGTCTTTGGCCGAATCACCTCGGGTGACAAGCGACTTGCTGGACGGAAGGTTGACGGCAAAGGCCAGATCTGGGGTGACGATGGCAAGGTCATTGGTAAAGCCGAGCTTGTCCCTGGCGCTGAGCAAGAGAAGCCCGAAGGCCCCTTCTTCGGCTTTGATGACGCAGAAGTTGGGAAGGGTGGTGTAGTCACTTCTAGTGGCAAGATTATTGGCCGTGTCATTGAGGGTGACGCCAAGCGACTTCAGGGACGCAAGGTCGACGAAGATGGAGATATCTTGGATAAGAATGGAAACACTATCGGCCGAGCAGAGCGCTGGGAGCCGGAGGAGAAGCAACGAAGCGTCAACCCTATGGCTGGCCGGAAGGTTACTCGCGAGGGTGAAGTGCGCGATGTTGATGGCAACCTCATCGGAAAGTTGACCTCCGGTAACTTGGCGACTCTCGTTGGCAAGGAGATCGATGATAATGGCTTTGTCGTTGACAACGATGGTAACAAGCTTGGCGAGTGTACCCTGATCGAAAATATCCCGGAGGAGGAGGAAGAGGTCGTCGAGGAGGAGCCAGGCCTGTCGCCAGAAGAGCTCGAGGAGCAGAAGAAGGCCGAAGAAGATAAACAGCTGGCCAAGAAGATGAGCGCCATCATCGGACAAACCTTGGATCGTGTTCGACCGATCTGCAAGATGATTACAGAGGTACGCTACGGAATGATATAGCTTTCGTATCAGAGATTTGCTAACACATACACTAGCACATTGAGAGAGCCGAGCGTACCCCGAAAGAGGAATTGGATGAGGAAAGACTGGTAAAGGATGTCAAGCCACTGCTTGAAGAGGGAGGTCGAATCCTCCAAGAATGCAACGGCGCCATCCGGGCTCTTGATCCAGATGGTCGTATCGCAGCTACAGCAAAGGCTCGCGCTGCTTCACACGAAGCATCTCCCGAAGAGTATGCTCTCGCCGATCAAATCAAGGAAATGACAGATACCGTCGTGAGTTGCATCGAGAACGGTAAAAAGAAGATCGCCGACATGCCTCATGCGAAGAAACAGCTCAACCCCCTCTGGGCCCTTCTCAGCGAGCCCTTGTTCCAGATCATTGCCGCTGTAGGCTTGTTGCTGACTGGCGTGCTTGGGCTTGTTGGTCGTCTACTTGAGGGTCTCGGCCTGGGACCTCTCGTGAATCGCTTGCTCGGCGGCTTGGGCCTTGACAAGTTGCTTGATAGTCTGGGCTTAAGCTCTATCACCGACGCTCTTGGTCTAACGGGTAAGAAGAAATAGGGGTTCTCTCTCCGGGCTGAAAGTTCTCAATTATCCTACTTTTGCTTGTTTGAGGCGATATTCTAATATTTGTATTAATGTATCATTTCAATAACCGACAGAATGAATAGCCTGACGATGCCTAGTTTACAGATTGCGTTAACATTGGCGTCTTTATCATAGTATTTCAGAGTAAGTTTTAACAAGGGCTTATTGCGAAGAGCAAAATAAAACTACTGGTAAAAAGAAGAGAAAAAAGATGATAGCCATGATAGGATTCGAAACCTACAGCCTCCTGATTCGTAGTCAGACGCGGTAACCAATTCTGCCGGCCAATGTGTACAGATAGTAACAGTATGCCAAAATTATGTATATGATACAATGGGAATAGCTGCTCTTCAATCGTCCAATATTCAGCCCTAACCATGTCAAATCATGATTTTTCACTTCACCAACCTCCACCCCTGGACTACTTTCTACCTTATATCCTCAGGATCCATGGCCAAATATCTTTTTCACCTATGGAGAGCTTTTTGGGGACGGTCTTGTATGAGTTCCATTTGAAGACGTACTTTCTACCTATACTACCCGGCTTGTCCTCTGTTAAAACCGTAGGGATGGTCTCTATCGTGCTCCTCCGTGACCAGACTTTAGAAAATAAAGAAAAGAGATGAAATGCAAATGACTACGCGGTAGGGGCACGAAACTCCATGACACACACTCGTCCATCTGCATACGAAAGGGCAAGTGTATTCCCCTTGGCCGCAGAACCAGAAAATGGAAGATAATCGAAAGGGAGCCATAACACCTTCTCAGACGCAAAGGTCACCCAGTGATCCTCCACGGATAGCAGGGAATCTGAGTCTACCGTCTGGCTGTCCGGTGAAAAGGTGACCGGGCTAGAATGATCCCCCAGAGTGCGCACATGTTGACCGGTTTTGGTATCCCAGAGCTTGATAGTGTTGTCGTAGGAGCCGGAAGCAATCATTGAACTATCCGGTGAAAAGGCCACTGACCGAACCGGAGCAGAATGACCCTCTATGGTGCGCACTTCCAGGCCTGTTTTAGTGTCCCAGAGCTTAATGGTGCTATCGTAAGAGCCAGAGGCAACTGTCCGGCTGTCTGGAAGGAATGTTACCGATCGAACTATCCCAGAATGGCCCTCCGAGGTGCTCAGTTGTTGACCTGTTTTAGTATTCCAGAGTTTAACTGTCTTATCATAGGACCCGGACGCTATCATAAGGCCATCGGGTGAGAAGGCCACCGCGCCAACTAGGCTAGAATGGCCCTTCAGGGTGCGCAGATGCTGACCAGTTTTGGTGTCCCAGAGCATAATAGTATTATCATAGGAGCCGGAGGCAATTGCCTGACCATCTGGTGAGAAGGCCACTGATTGAACCCAGTCAGAATGACCTCTCATGGTGCGTAGCTGCTGACCAGTATTGCAGTCCCAGAGCTTAATAGTATTGTCGTCAGAGCCAGAGGCAACTAAGTGGCCATCCGGTGAGAAAGCTACGGACACAACTGAGTCGGAATGACCGTCTAACGTGCGTAGCTGTTGGCCGGTCTTGCTATCCCAGAGTTTAATAGTGCGATCATAGGAGCCTGAAGCGATCATGTGGCCATCTAATGAAAAGACCACTGACGCAACTGAGTCAGAATGACCCTCCAGGACTCGCAGCTGTTGACCAGTATTAGGATCCCAAAGCTTAAGAGTATTATCCTTGGCGCCGGAAGCAATCATCCGGCCGTTCGGTGAAAAGGCCACCGACACAACTGAGTTGGAATAGTCCCAGGCATTGATAGTGTTATCATTGGAGCCGGAGGCCACTATCTGGCCATTTGGTGGGAAGACCCCCGGTTGATCCCAATCGGAAGGGCCCTTCAGGCTCTGTAGCTCCGCGCTCTGAAAACCCTCGGCTGCTGGTAAAATATGCACCCATCTTTGGCTTTCTTGAAATGTCTTGTGAATAATACTGCTTGGCGGCAGGAACGCAAGCCCAGAGCAGTATAGCTGGAGTGGGAAATCAGCGCAGATGTAGATAATTCTGAGCACAAAAAGCTTTGCATCACGCAAGAATGACGAAAGCTCGGAACATAAATCGCTCTATATTCTCATCAGTCACTGTTCCAAACGGAATATATTAACCTACTTGTGCTGTTGACCATAGTGTGTTTAGTATATTGACCACATCCGATAATAAACCCATCAAGCTCATCGCCTCCAACCAGTGAAGAAAGTGTCCTTTTAGGAATGTAAGCACTTCAGTTTGATATACCTGATCTTTGCCTTGATTGAGATGATACGCCCAGTAGCGGCAGGAGTACTGCAGCTCTGCTGAGAGACAATTATCAATACTTTGACTGTCAAATTCTGCACGCTGTGTGCCATAACTTGGGAGACCACAAATATTGTGTTTGAGACCAGTTTCCATGACGCGAAGGCAGTGTAATGCTATCTTCCGGTGTGATTCCTTTTCGTTGACATGGAAAATACTCGTTGTGTTAAGAAGAAATTCCCGGAAGGATAAGTGTAGCATGTGGACCGGTGCATCACAGTCGTCAGGCACACTAACAACGGAGTGAAATGCGGCTAAGCGAGAGTGGAGTTTTCTTTCCTGACTATTAACAAGTCGTGCGAGAGCCCGAACTGAAAGGGGCGCTGCAAGAAGAATAATAACCCCAAGTAAATCCTGTAGCTCTTTTGCAAAGTTGCTCATCTCAGCCTCTCCCGTTAGTTTGTTCAATATCGGTAGGTAGACCCTCTCCATCTGCGAGCCAGATGTAGAGGCTGAATCGTTGAGGACTGCGTCAAGACGATCTTCCGGTACCTGATATCTTTCCCCAATAAAGCGACACATGGTAGAGGCGACGATAAAGAGAGGAACGGATCTAGACACTAAAGTCTCCGTGATATTCTCACCCGGCCAGCCAGGGGGCAGTGAATGCTCCTTCTGTATTTTCCCCAGCCGATCCTGGAGGAATAGCCGTATATCGCGTTCAATCACTGGACGGGGAAGTTCATGAAGCACCAAGTCCTGATGTTCCAGATGCTGAAAGCCAAGCCGAATGGGAAGTTCAGGTCTGCTTGTCAACAAGATCCGCAAATGTAAAGACTTGGAACTCTGCACCTGTGGCAGGATATCTAGAAGAACTCTTATGTCCTCTTCTTGTTCACACTCATCTAACGCGTCGATCACAATCACCGTGGATGTAGGCTCATCTAGTTTCAGGTTTACTAGTGGCTGAAGGAGAAGCTTGTCAAACTGTTCGCTGAGAGCTTTTGAGGCAATATCCGGATCGCTCTGAATCGCTGCCAGGATACCTGGTGCTAACTGACGCTTACTGGCAATCAATTGCTTTGCAACCGTTGATATAAGCCTTTTGGCATTGCCACGCTCCGCCTCACCCTTCTTGAAAAAGAAACTTGCTCCTAGCAGCCCCTTTTCTCTCAAGGACTGTGCAACTGTCCGGGCAATAGTGGACTTTCCAGTGCCTGCCATGCCGTTCAACCAAAATATGCATTCACCCTCCGGCGACCCGGCCCAATCTGTGATCTGATGGCGAAGCTCAGTCCGGGTCTCAGGAAGGCATTTGTCTTCATGTTGATTATCATATGAGTCATAACTGGCTCCCTCTGCGATGGGAAGGCCGAAATTCTGGATGAGCGCTTGAACAGACTCTATAATTCTGTCACATTGGCTTAAAAGCAATTCCGCCTGTTCATTATGGCGTAAGTGTTGATCCATCTGAACCCATTGATGCAAATATTGCTCTTGTTCTTTGACAGAAGATTGAAGTTCCCCGAGGCGTTGCTTGGTGATTCCAGTGATAGTGTCCTGTATCCACCTCCCAATACCGGACTGTTGAGCAGTTAATACCTCTTCTGCGTATTGGAGTATGACTCTATAGACACTAATGAGTGCGCGTCCTACTTCGGCCTTTTTCTCAGCATCGTTGCGGTAGATTGTCTTCTCAACATAGGCACACCGGGCAAGAACATCTGCCAGATACTCTGAAGAATCAAACAAGGCATCGCGCAGGTCAAGTCGGTTTTGGGTCATCTATAGGTATTGGGTTCCTTATTAGGTTTGCTGTCTAGTAATTCACACTTCACGATAGCTTACCGTCAAACCAAGCGAGACAACAGTCCAAGCGCTTGCTGCATAACAACTAGGATCAAAGGCCACCACGGCACTAACAATGTCTTTGAAGGATAACGCCGCATCAATTATGTTGCGTGAAAGCTTTCGAAGATCAATGTCCTCGCCCGTTGACCTCCGGATCTTTATGCCCCCGTTTTGGTATTCTTCATATTGTTGTTTGGTCCCCTGAATGACTTTCTCAATTATGGCCTCGGTTGGGGATTGTCCATTCTGGTCGCTGTCGCTTCCTAGTTGGGTTGGAGCGTATTTTAATGTGGACAATGTCTGCTGTTGCTTCCGGTCTAGCTGATCAAATGCAGATTGCCATAAATCCTGGGTTTGGTTGATATTATGCTGGTTGATTGCGGGTGAAGCAGGAGCCAAAGATGTGGGGTCAGCCTGGATCCCTGTTTTGGTAGGCTGGGGTGTTTTGGGTCGGTGGCGCAGACGGGATTTCACGTCTCTTCCCCAGGCCTTTAGCTCCTGACGCATCCTGATAGTAATTTCTACAGAGTTGATATAAAGAGGCTGAAGTTGTCATTCACGAAGATATGGCTATGGAGGAGGTTCAAGGTGGGTGAGAAGTCTTACTGCGAGATTTGGTCTTACTCCGTGCGTTGGCGCGGCTGAAGGGCCAGAACATGCATAACTAGTCAGGCATTGTTGACTAACCATAGGCGTAGCACAAAAGGTACCATCTAAAATTGATACTAGTCTCTAGAAGGTTAGGACAAACCCCAGCATAGCCGAGAAAGTCAAGGCGGGGGAAAAGGTGAGGCTGCCATTATGCAGCTGAGTCGGATAGGGTTTAGTTAGGGTTTGGGCTCATCCCTATCCACTTTTAGCCCTGATTGATGTGGCCGTACACTTCCCCAACCTCCGCCTCCTGGACTATTTATCTGCATGGTTTCCCCAGCATCCAAGCCTAGAGCAGCTTTGCCACCTATGGAAAGCTTTTCAAGGCCAGTCTTGTCTTCGTTCCATTTGAAAACGTAATTTCTCCCTACATCGCCTGGCTGGCCTCCGTTCATACCGTAGGGATGATAGACTCGGCGGTCACTTAAGATGCTGAATTTCAAGGGTACCCGAGCTTCAATTTCGCGGACTGCACCATTGCCACCACAATACTCTCCCGAACCACCGGATCCATGCCTGATAGCATGTTGACGAATAATCACAGGCGTTCTCT